CTATTCTTTCAGCATTTTTAAACCCATTCTTCCACCTTTTTTACCGTAATTTTCAATTTTCGTGTTTTTAATATTTCTAATACTATTTTAATTCTTCTATTTTCTTTTTTATTGTCGTTTTTGTTATTCGTGTTTATTCTCATTTTCTAAATAAATTTCTACCCTTTCTTTTAATCTTTTCTGCTAATAAAAATTCATGTTATTGAATATTCGCAGTTTCGTGCTTCAAAAATTTTTCCAACACTGAGAAAACTGGAGAGTCAAATTCAGAGGTTCAAAAAGTGTATGTTTCCTTTGCTTATGAAGAGAGTTGAATAGTCCTTCTAAAATAAATTTTGAATTGAAAATGGAAATCTACTTGTATATTCTCTCCCATTATATCTGAGGGTTAAAATTTGCGCAGAAAATGTGTACGATCTGATGCGCGCGAAATTATTTTTCTGACATTTTATGTATTTAATTTAGGGGTTAGGTTGCCATATTTATTCATTTCGCGCCGGATAAGGAAGGGATTTCTCAAGATGGTTAATTTGTCCCTCTGTTATAAACTCATTTTCCCTCCAAGAGAAATGGCACGAATATCTGTTAATGGTGTATTTGAACATTTGGATTGTTATCCAATAGCTAACTCTCAAATATGAACGATTTGTCCCTCCAGATGTTTAGTCCAATACTCCAGTTTTCTCAGTGAACAGATTTTTTCCTTTGTTTTCATATTTTTATTGAAATTTTAGGGAATTCAGGGGAAAAGTCAGGGATTTTTATTAAAAGTACTGGAAAAAAGAGCCTCGGCAAGCCCCATGCAAAAAATGCCCGTTTTTCGTACCTCGAATTTTGAAACTTTCTTTATACCAAATGGTCATATATGATGACCAAATAATCCCTGCAAAATTTCAAGGTGAGCAATTTCAAGGTGATGCCCCGTTTAGGAAATATATAGAGGGTCAAAGTTGACCATGTCAAATAATGGAAAAATAGCGACTTAACATTTATACTCGAATAATAAGGTTAAAAAAGAAGTCGAAATAGTTCCTTTAAGATTTTTGGCTTCTAAATACGAATGACATGTTAAACTAAAGAAATTAAATAATTACGAATTTAATGTCAGATTAAAAAAATTCAAAATGGCGGATCCAATATGGAGGACGAGTTTTGTAAAAAGTCATCGGATTCACTTAAAACTTGTTACTCGGAGCTTTTTTGGGTCGCTAATTACGAATTTCATGTCAGAATTCAAAAAATTCAAAATTTTGGACACAATATAAAGGAATATTTTTCAAAATAAAAAAGATCCTTTTCAAACAATTAACTGTAATGTTTTTAGAAGCGTTGAACACCAAAATTATATAAAGAATTGACAATGAAAATGCATTAAATCTTTCTTGTCACTACTTTAACAGCTAATGCCTTTATTGGTCGGACTATTTTAACGTGATTTTATTGGTCGGCTTATTACCTCTTGCCTTTATTGGTCGGATTATTACCTCTTTTTTCAACTTGCCTTTATTGGTCGGATTATTACCTCTTTTTTTATCTTGCCTTTATTAGTCGGACTATTTCATCTTGCCTTTATTGGTCGGACTATTTTAACTTGCTTTTATTAGTTGGATTATTTCATCTTACCTATACATACGTCGGATTATTACCTCTTGCCTTTATTAGTCGGATTATTTCATCATGCCTTTATTGGTCAGACTATTTTAACTTGCCTTTATTGGTTGGATTACTTTAACTTGCCTTTATTGGTCGGTTTATTTTAACGTGATTTTATTAGTCGGATTATTTCATCTAGCCTTTATTGGTCGGATTATTTTAACTTGCCTTTATTAGTTTATTAGTTATTTATTGGTCGGACTATTTTAACTTGCTTTTATTAGTTGGATTATTTCATCTTACCTACATAAGTCGGATTATTACCTTTTGCCTTTATTAGTCGGATTATTTCATCATGCCTTTATTGGTCAGACTATTTTAACTTGCCTTTATTGGTTGTATTACTTTAACTTGCCTTTAGTGGTCGGTTTATTTTAACGTGATTTTATTAGTCGGATTATTTCATCTAGCCTTTATTAGTTTGATCAGTACATCTTACCTGTGTTGGTTTGATTATTTCATCTTACCTTTACTTGTAGAAGTCTTCTCTTTTTCCATTATTTGACATGGTCAACTTTGACCCTCTATATTTCCTAAACGGGGCATATGCTCACCTTAAAATTTTGCAGGGATTATTTGGTCATCATATATGACCATTTGGTATAAAAAAAGTTTCAAAATTCGAGGTACGAAAAACGGGCATTTTTTGCCGAGGCTCTTTAATTTTTAGAATTCATAAGAAAATTCTGAATTTTTGTGTCTTTTTTGTTTGTCTCATAAACTGTGAAATTACCACGAATTCTAATACAAAAACTTTACTTTTTTTCTATTTCTGACAATAGTTTGTTTTCAATAACTTATAATTCTTTAACACAACTATAGTAAAATTATTACTTAGAAATTATTTAATGAAAAATTTTACTTAAATATTTCAAAATGAATTCAATTTTAAAAGAGTTCAATTTTAAAGAACTTAGATTTTTGAAAACTTTTAATAATTCAAATTATTAAAATCAATAATGGATTTTTAGAAAATTTTTAGTTAAAAACACTAAAACAAATTGAATTTTATAGAAGTTACAAATGATTGCAAAAATTGAAATATTTTCAACATTTTTTTAAAATTCTTATCAAAATTTCAATTATCTTTATAAATAATAAAATTCTTCTCCGAAATTCAATAAAAATTTCATAGGAATTCAAAATGAATAATAAAATAATAAATATGATCAAATATGAATAATACAATTTTATTACAGAAATTCAATATTATTTAAATACAATAATTTTAATCAAATTCCTCGAAAAATGTAATTATTCTTAAAAAATTTATTAAAATTCGTCGGCAGAATTCAATTATTTTAAAATTTGGTGATATAGTTCTTTATGTGAATTTAATATTAAGGAACATTCAATTTTGTAATGAATTAATTATTTTTGTATTTAAATAATTTAATTCTCGTAGAATATTTTCTAATAAAAATTGGTTTAAAAATGACGAAGTTGAAGTCCACAACTTTGATCAACGAAAAAAATTTATTTAATCTATTTCAATATTATTTTTAATTTAATATTTAATTGTATAACAATTATTGTCAGATCATAAACGCAGTCTATTTTTTCTAAATATTTTTGTGGCAATATTGCTGCGTTATCTTTTATTAATTTACTAAGTGCACAATTTTTTTCGTTGCCAAACGTTGTGGACTTCAACGTCGTTAAAAATGAACTTCATTTAAAATTTTACATAAAAACTGAATATTACAAGCATTACAGCGTGAATTTTTAGAAATAATTGAATTTTGAAAAGGTTTTAATTTAAAATCTTTGAAAATTTGAATTTTTCATACTTTTAACTAACAATTCTGTAAAATTAATTTTTTTTTAAAAGTTTAATTGAATTTTTTTAAAAATTATGTCAAGGTTTTTATTATATTGTCTAATATATATTTAATTGAAGAATTTCCAAATAATCGAAATTTGGTAAAATTGAATTGTAAATTCAATTCATTTGAAAATTCTCAAGAAACTTTTTCAAAAATTATGAAAAATAATAATTGAGTTAAAGAAGAATTTTAGTTTAAAATTCTGGACAATAATAATTGAATTGAAATAATGAAAATAATTTTGAAGAAGTTATAGTAACAATATTCTTATAATATTTAACGATTTTATTTATCACTCTATCATGTTTTCAAGTAATATTCTTACAAGTTGTTGAATTTCAGATAGGTTTAAATATGAAATTTTTGAAAATCTGAATTCCTGTGCAAAAATAATAATGATTAAATATAATTATTTAAAAAAAGAAGTTTTTGATGTTTTCGAATAATGTTACAATCACAAAAATTCGTAAATAAATGTAATAGGACATTTTTTTGAGTATCTAATAATTTTTAGAGTCAATCAGAATATTTTTTAAGGTCATGGAAAAAGTCAAAATTTTGTCTGGAAAGTAGGGAAAAACAAAATTAAATTTTTGTGGCAACCCTGTATTAATTAATTACTCAATTTTATAATTCACATTTAAATAAAAAGTAGAATACATATAATTTAAATTATTAATAATTCGAAATAATAAATAATACCTATATTTTGGAAAAATTATTTTCTCATTTTTAAATTAGATTCACAATATTAAAGTAATCGTGATAATATTATATTAAATATAATAAATTGTTAATAAATTGGTATGGTAATTTGTATGTTTCGAATTTTAATATATTACCTATTATTTTGATTATTATTCATTTTTATTATTATTATGGTTATTGAAATTATTATTGTTATTTTATTCACAGAATATCTGAGTAAAGTGTTTATTCTTGAGGACTTTGTGGCAAATATTTGCATGAAGCTTTCAAGAAGAGACTGATGGAGTTCCGCACAGTGGCTTGAAATGAATATCAATTCACGTTGGACATATAAAAAACGTGGTGAAACCATTATAGTGCTGAGCTTATATATTCGAATATTACTGGCACGTTAATGACCTTGACACAGTTATTTAATATCCATTTTCTTCCTTTTCTCTATTATTTAGAGAAAAAAAGTAATCTTCATAATCTAATACATATTTGTTTCCACATTATCACAATATACTATAGTAAATGAAAAAAGTTCAACGACTGATTAGAAATTATTCACTTCATTTCCTTTATTCAAAACTAGAAAATATTTATTTTACGCTAAATTGCAAAATATTTTAATTGTCCATGAATTTTGTATGGAGAATTCGATTAAAATCTATCAATATTTTGCCGAAATCTAGAAATACAGAGAAGAAGAAATATAGAGAAAATGGAATATAGAATAAAAATAGAAATATAAAGAAAATGAGAGAAATATTTAAAAATACGGAGTAAAGAGAGAAAGAAAAAAAGGATTCTTGTAATTAAAAAATCGAGTTTTTTTGAAAATAAATACTTGTTTATTTCAGTGTCATGACGTTATGTTTTTCAATGTTCGTTCACTCTGCCAAATAAATAATTATGTTATTTACAGTGGATTTTTTGTTACATCTAAATCGAAAACTGTTTTTGTTTACATCTTTCGAATTGTTTCAGGAATTTGATCCATTCTTGATGTGAGTGGAAAGGATGAGGATGCGGACGTTGATGATGGTGCGGGTTTCGGTGGTCCCTCGAATAAACACGTTTTAGCTGTTTTCAAAAGACGTCCATTGTTACCCGTTCTCCAATAAACGGAACGAACTGCCTGCCTACCAGCAACAACAGTAACAGATCCACCAATCAACATCTGTAAAGAAAAAGAAAAATTTAGAAGATCAATTATTATCAAAATTTTAAGGAGGTTAGTCATTTTACAAATCTTGGTATAAATAGTGATGAGTACATCCGAAATTTATCAATAATTTATAAAAACATTAAAATTCTAAAAATTGGAGAATTTTTTCAATTTTCAAGAAAAATCGAATTATTAATTGTTTTTAATTCGAAGGAACGTTGGATGCAATTTTTAAATTAAATATTTAAAATTTTGTAGATTATACATCTTTTCGTCCACTGAATAGAGAAAAATTTATTCTTACTTTTCGAAAATTAATTTCTCCATTTTTTAAATCTCTTTTTCTAATTTTTAATCCTATTTTGAATCTAATTTTCAATCGCCTTTGATTTACAGAAGGGCAGGTAAAATTAAAGTTGTACTAAGAGTTTTTATACATAAAAAAATTTCAACTGAAAGAAAACTTTTTGTTTTAAATAAAATAAATAATTTTAATTTAATTAAAGAAAATTCAATTTTAAAGATCTGTTTTTTCTAATTTTTAATATTTCGAATCTAATAAATTTTTAAAATTAGGGGAAATAAATTTCAAAAATAGAAAAATTCTTTTTCGATAAGTAAGAATAAATTTTTCCCTATATCAAAGCACGGAAAAAATTTTTAAATATTTAAATTGGAAAATTTACTTGTTCCTTCGAATAAAATAAAAAATAATTCGCTTTTTCCGAAAACTGCAGGTAAAATTGTGCAATTGTAATTAGGTGAATAAATTGAAGAATGAAAATAAAATGAAAATATTAATTTGTTTTTTAAACGAAAAAGGACGAAAAAATTTTGCAATATATTTAAAAAGAAATTGTTCAATAATGCAACGAATAAAAAAAAATGTAATTTTGAATTATAATTAAATAAATCTTTCAGTTATGAAGATTATAAATGAAATTATTAATAAGATAAAATGAAAAATAATTTACCTTGTTAATTTATAAATTGATACTGCTTGAAATGACTAGACTCTGTTAAAAATATCACTCGCAAAAAGTTATATTTTGCAGAAAGTGAATTTTTCTATTTTGGTCAAGAATGTCCTTTCTTCATTCGTACAGACGTTATTGTGCCGAGGGAATTAAAACACTGATCTCGAGTTGTGGATGTCGATACTTTATACCCGATAGAAAATTTACGTCATAACTTTCAGATAAGAACATTATTATTGTCATTCAAAGAACGTGTGATCGCTCCTCGTATATGAGTGAAAAAAGTAGATACAAAAGAGACTAAGTAAAAGGAAGAAGAGATGAGGGAGTACAAAGATCCACACCTATAATAAAGGAGTTATAATAATGACGATGATAAGCTTTGCAAGTGGCGTGCTTTATATTATCTCTTCCTGTTAACTTTTCAAAAAGAAAAAAAAGTTTGGGTATACGATTTGTTGGCAGAAATATTTATAATAATATTGTTGATTTCAGGTTATTGTTGACTAAATATTACGTTATCAAAGGCATTATTGTTATTGTGTACTTATTCATTAGGAAATGCATTCTACCATTTTTAGTCAGTTAATTTATTTTTCTTTTAACTAATTCATTAATTATTTAACTAATTTTCTAAATTTAATTTTAACTTATTTAAATAATTTACTAATTATTTAACTAATTTATCTAAATAATTCTTTTATTATTTAATTAATTTATTAATTTATTATCTTATTTATTTAGCTAATTGCGTATAAAAAGAGAACAAAATTAATGAAACTATTAATTGGTTAAAAAAATAATCATGTATAGAGAAAAAAGTTAGTAAAATAAATAATTAGTTAAAAAATTAATCAGCTGATTATTTAACTAATCAATTATTTATTTAGCTGATTATGTAGAGAAATCATAGAAAGTAAAGAAGAAAGTAGAGAAAAAATCAATCAGTAAAATAATTAATTAGATAAAAAATGAATCAGCTAACTACTTAACTATTTAATAATTTTTTTAGTTAATTACTTAAAGAAAGTATAGAAAGTACATTATGAAGTTATGAGAAAGTACAGAAAGTAGAAAAAAATCATTGAAATAATTATTTTTATAAATTATTTTTAATTTCACCTTTTTTTGTTACAGTTTAATTAGTTTTTTTCGATTCATTGTATTCATTGCATTATTGATCAATAATTCTTCTAAAATTGCGGAATTTTTTCGTTCACTTTGATTCAAAAGAAATTAAATTAATAAAATTATTTTAATTTAATTATTAATTCTTAATTAAATTAATTAATTTCTGAATTTCATTTTTATTTTTACCTATATTTTATTCATTTTCAGGGAATAAAATATAGAGAACTTGATATGTAATAACAGCCACAGCTTTGTCAAGGAAAAACTAAACAATTTTTGACAACAAAATTTTTTTTTCCTAACTTCTACATTATTTGTCCTAATGAGCTAAAAATTAGTATACTAGTGTATTGTTACAGTCTGATCACAAAAAATTTTTGAAAATTTTTTTTAGAAATAACTTTTTTTGGTACCAAATGATCTAAATATTAGTGTACGGAACCCGCCATTTCAGTGCGAGTATACAATTCGCACTTGCCCGGTTTTTTGATTTAAAAATAAAACTTAATTGTTATTTCTAAATTAAAATAGTAGTTTTATGTATATATTTTTCTTTTTTTGTTGAACTAATTTATTAACAAATATAAAAGTTAAATCGAATGCGATTCAAGATTAAATTTAAAATATTAATAATTTGGAGAAAATGGATTTGGAAAGTAGAGAAATTCACTTTTAAGAAGTAACAATAAATTTGTCCCTAATAAAAGGACGAAAAAAATTCTTTAATACACAAAATTTAAATATTCAAATTATAAATTTCATCTGGAAAGTGTAGAAAGAAGAGAAAAAAATTAATTAGTGAAATAATTAGTTGAATTTATCGGCTAATTAATTATTTATTTAGCTAAATGTGTAGAGAAAGCATAGAAAGTAAAGAGGAAAATAGAGAAAAAATTAATTAGTGAAATAATTAATTACTTATAAAATTAATCAGTTATTTATTTAACTAACTTTGTCTAGAAAGTACAGAAATAATTATTTAGTAAACAAGGTAAAAAATTAACCAGTTAGCTAAGTATTTAACTAATTAATTATTATTTTATTTAACAAATTAATTAATTAGTTAAAAAATTACTCTGATAATTGGTTTTTTTTGGTTTTGTTATTGTTGGCCTGTTGTCCCCGAAGGTCAAAAAGTAAAGTAGAATAAATGAAATAATCAATATTGGTTGAAAAAAAATAAATTAATCGGTTAGTTAATTATTCAGTTAACTAATTAATTTCTTTCGTTTAGCATTTCCATGGTCATTTCTAGAACGTCTTCTTAAAATATAAAAATTTGTAATTCTACTGTGATTTCAAGATGACGCAAAACAATAATGATGAAATGTATTTTTTGTGATGAATTTTCTTATTATTATTTTGAACAGAAAGCGCAATGACTTGTGTTGCGCGTTTTGTTTACATTTTTTTCTATATCCTAACAATACACACATGTATATGCGACAATTTTCTCATTTCACGATTTTCATCATATATGCGTCAGAAAATTCTTCCGTTTGCGTAATAAAATTTTTCCACTTTATAAAATGACAATAGGGAAAATTACAGTTACTTTAATTCTAATACGTTCTGGAATCTTCCTTCCTAAGTTTGTCGTTGTCAGAAATGATTCAGAATTAATTTCAACTATATACCATCGATTGTAATTAGTTTCATTTTTTGTATATATTCTACTTTTTTGCCTTCTTTTCTCCACCTGAATTTAAATTTTCTTATTTTGAACGAAAAATTAGTTTCCTAGTTTTTTAAATTTTGATTTTCTTTTTAAATTTTAATGATGAGTTGTGTTTTACATCATCGAAAAATTTAATTTTGTGTTTTAGATAATTTAATTTTTGGTGAGTTAATTTATGATATTCATATATTTTCTGGGCAAAGTTGAATAGAATATTCCTCGAAAATTATTTTCCATTCATATAAGAGTTGACTCTCTTATCAATGAAGAGGTTTTTCTTGAGTTTTAATCTACACGGCGGTACCAAGTGCGACTTTTTTTTCTTAAATACCGTTCTTAACTGTCTGCATTGAAATATTTTTATTTTTTTAATCTTTACGAGTTCCTTTTCAGAAAATAAATAAATAAACAAACAAAATGTATTGAATCATCGTACGATTTACATGCGTGATATCAGCAGTAATTAGAATATGAAATTTTATAAAAGGGGAATTTTTCAAGTACTTTATTATTATTGTTATTTTCTATTTACTTTATTTATTCGTTTATTTTCTTTATTAGTTTTATTTTTATTATTACTATTATTTATTTCTAATATTTTTTTGTTATTGTTTTAAATAAATTATTTCTAATATTTTATCATTTTTTTCAATTACTTTAATAATATGGTTAATACATGTTTTTTTCATATATATAGTTAAAATAATTGTATGTTATATATATTCTCTATAAAAATGAAACTAGATCGATAATTTATTTAATGCAAATATGTAGCGAATAATAATAATAATAATCCAATAGTTATTACTTCTTTTTTTTAATAAATGTAAATACCTAATTAAAATTTTGATTTTTGACAATTACGATTAGAATTAGATGAGAGAAAATGAAAATTATTTTTGCTAATAAAAGAATAATACATATTATGGAAAACTAATTAGAAATAATAATGAATGAATTTTTTCATTTAGTTATTTCATTTATTGCTTACTCATAGCGGAAATATTTACTTTATGAGAAATATTTATTCATTTACATTAAAAGATGACATGACCCTCAAGGATTAAACATGATAAAAAATAAATAAAAATAAAAACTTGATAATAATTTATCTTCGTCTAGATACATTTTTCTAACATTCTTTTATAATTTTATAGTAAAATGTAAATGTTTAACCTGTTGATTACTTAAAAAAATTGCGAAGGAAAGGAAAAAATATTTTTGTCTACATTTCACTGAATAATGATAAAACAATAGGAAAAAGAAAAATTCCAATGCAATAAAATTTAAAGTCTCAAATTTATGAAACTGAAGTTACCAACGTTTGTTCGACGAAAAATATAATACGTAACAATTTCTATTTCCCTGCCTCAGATCCAATTTTTTTTCCACATTTATTAAAAATACTAATGTCAGGAAGCATAAGAAATTATTTTCAACTGGAACCAGGTCGAAGAGGGTAATGATTTTGATTTTTTGTCGCGGATTTTTCGAAAAATCCCTGACAAACAATCAAAATCGTTGCCCTCCCTGACCTGGTTCCAGTTGAAAATAATTTCTAATGGCTTCTAACATTAATGTTTATAATATGTGACCTGGACAGTGAAAAGGGACCTTACGTGCGAAAACAAGTTTTCAAGAAAACAGCAGTTAAAGTTTAACTTAGAAAAACCCTTGTAACTTTTTTAAATATTAATATTTTTTAATCAAATTAGGCTTATTTTCTTCACCGTGAATCACAGTATCTAAATAAAAAACATACCAGTAATGAAAATTTTTTTTTAATAATTGTTTATATAAATTAATAACAAACTCCCCAAACATAGAAAAAATAATCTAAGTTTTCTAACTTGCAACAATAAGTGTAAATAAGTGACACATGTTTGTAAGGGTTTTCGAGGCCGCTGATTACGAATATGATGTTAAATTGACAATTTGACAGTTGACAGCTGTCAACTTCTCTAAAAAGTGATCGTTTTTTGTAAAAAAAGACAGTAATAAGGTTTTTGAGGTCGCTTATTACGAATATGATATCAAATTTGAATTTTAACTGTTGACAGTTGTCAAAGAAACTGTCAACTTTTCTAAATAATAAAAAATTATCGTCTTTGTCATTTTAATTTGTATAATAACAAAAAATCAGTTTTTTCGTATTTTTAACTCTTGTTTTTTTTACTTAAATTTTTTTTTTTAAAACTTCTAATCAACTTATGATTTTTTGGTTTTCACCATCTTAAAGAGCGTTTCAAACCCTATCCGAATCAACAAAAAAGTAAAAAAATGATTTTTTGACACGTAAGGTCCCTTTTCATAGACCAGGTCACATATATGTGAAAAAAATTGGATCTGAGGCAGGGACA